AATATTTTATATTCCTGCCAATATTAACACGGCTTATTTTCACCTTCCTAACATTGCCTGATTTCCCCTCTGTCTCAGCTCATCTACCTACAGAACCTCATTAATTCCTTCATTACCTCTGGACTTAGCTATTCTATGCACACATGGAAGGTCTTGTTCATTCCACCCTTCATAAACTTGGTTAACCAAAGCCCTTTTGCCTGTTTTAACTTGCACCAAGTCTGGTTTCCTGTGGACCCTTGTATGTGCTGACCTATGGCTCTTGGTCAAACAACAGGAATTCTCATCCTTGTTTTCAAATCCTCTTTGGCCTTGCACCTACCTATCACTGTCAGTTCCTCTGGCCTCAACCCTCCAAGATATCAGCACTATTCTAATTCTGGCCTGTATACATCCCCAGCTTTATCTTTGCTTTCTATTACCTAGGCCCTAAGCTCTGGAACACTTTCCCAGGATACTTCTGTCTTCTTGGAAAGCGTTCTCTAAAATCTAGATTTTTTGAGCAAGTTTTCATCTCCTCTGGTGACTTTGTGCACCCGTGAAGTGCCTTAAAATAACATCTTTACAAGAGGCATTGTATTTCTATTCATTCACGAAACATGGGTGTCTCTGGCTGGGACAACATTTAGTGTCTATCCATAATTGCCCTTGAGCAGTTGGTGGGGCAAACTACCATCCTGAATCACTGCAATTGATGGGGTTTAGGTACAGCTGCAGTGCTGTTAGGAGGGGAGCTTCAGGATGTTAACCTGGTGACATTGAAGAAATGGTGATGTAGTACCAAGAGCAACATATAAGTAATATTGTTCCCTTATGTCTGCTGTCCTTGTCCTGGGTGGTAAAGGCTATGGATTTGGAAAGTATTATTGAAGAAGCCTTGGTGAGTTGCTGCTGTGCATCCTGTAGATGATACACACTGCGTCAGTAATGGAGTGGTTACATGTTTAAGGTGGTAGCTGGGGTGACGGTCAAGTAGGCTGCTTTGTGCTGGATGGTGTCAAGCTTCTTGTGTTGAAGCTACAAACACCCAGACAACTGGGGAGTATTCCATTGCACTCCTGACTTGAGTCTTGCAGATGATGGACAGGCTTTGGGGAGTCAGGAGCTAAGTTACTCGCCGCAGAATTCCCAGCCTCTGACCTGCTTTTGTAACCAGATTATTTATATGGCTAGTCTCGTTCAGTTTTGGGTCACTGGCAAACCCCAGGATGTTGATAGTTGAAGTGATATCTGTGGTGCATGTTAAAGGTTTGGAGACTTTGAGTATGTTTTCAAGAATTAGAACTCTGACCTTTCAGTGACTACACAATTGATTCACGATAACATCATGATGCTGTATTTCTCCATGTAAAGCATTAAAACTAATGTTCAGTTAATCCAGGCCGCACTAAGGAACCTTATATAATACAAATATTAAGTCAACCCTAATCTTTGCAGCATCAGCAAACCTCACCCAAAGCAATATTTGGCCCCTGTTTCTTGGTTGGCGAGGGGAAAATAAGATGTGATTTCACTCCAGATAATTATCCAACCAGTTCCAGAAGGGGAGTATTTATTGATGTTCAATCTGACTCTGCTATGATTAATTTATCAAGTTTCACACATGGAAGCGTGCTTTTATTTTTGAGCTAGTAAGTTTTTGAACTATCATAGAATCCCTACAGTGTGGAAGCAGGCAGTTCAGGCCATCAAGTCCACATTGACCCTGTGAAGAACACGCCACCCAGACCCCACCCCCACTAACTCCCACCCCACCCTATCTCTGTAACCCTCCATTCCCATGGATAATCCACTTAGCCTGCACATCCCTGGACACAATGGGCAATTTAACATGGTCAATCGCTCTTGACAAGTTGAGTGCAATTCTGGTCATTATAAATAAAAGTAAACTTGCCATAATCCTACCAGACCATAAGTCTGCACTGTCATTGCAGAGAGATAATTGGTGGTAGTTTAACCTGACAGTCACCGTACCTCAGGCAAGGGGTTAAATTGAGAAGGCATTCCTTCATGGTCACTTCAGCCAGTGCAGGAATTGAACCCACTCTGCCACCATTCTGCATTGCAAAACAGCAAACTAAGTGAACTGACCAGCCTCCCCAACGTCTCTCTTCACCCCCCCCCAGCCCATTCTCCCTTCCCTGCTAGCTGTCCCTCCCAACGACCCAGTCCTCTCCCCTCCACCCCTTCCCTTCAATGTCCTTCTACTCCCTGTCTCCCACTCCTATCGGGCCCCCTTCTTCTCCTTGTCTACTTTTATTGAAGCCTATTTTCCCAACTGATAAAGTACATGAGTTAACATAACATTTAAATGGGGGAGACATGGATTTCTTCTCATTTATGGTTCATGGACCAGAGTAATTTTTCCAAATTATACCTGAAACAGACTTTGCTTAATGAATTTAATTCATTTCTTGATTTTCAAGAAGCAATTTCAACTTGAACATAGTAACTTTTAATTGCTTCTCAAGTTGTCATTTCATGCAAAAGAAACCTTACCTTGTACTCACAATCTGACTAAACACTCTTCACTCAATAGTCTATCACAAAATGTCATTTTGTCACTAACTTGCATATTATTTTAAGATTTTGCTAATGGTGTGATATTATTGAACAGTCTTAACATATAACAGGTGGAAACTTTGCAGTTATTCGTTAAAGATAAATGCAGTAACCAGTTTATGAAGAATCATACCTTAGTCTGTTTTGAAGATGTTCTAAAGTTTCAAATGCTTTTATTTTGTCCATGCAGTTGTAAATTATAAATAACCAGTACTCAACTTTTCTTTATTCAACATGTGCAATTATGTGCGCATTTAAGTTTTGCTCAAAGTCTTGCCTTTTCTGAAGAGAATATATTTATTTATGCTTTGTCATACAGTTACAGTGGACAGATAAACTTTTGTCCTTCCAGTAGTCAGATGTTCTCATGTCTGCAGACTTAAATTTGATTGCACGTATCAGAACTACTTTTTGATTAATTGCAAAATCTCTGAATTCCCATTACACTTAAAATCTGGCAGTGATACCGTTCAACAAGATTGTGTATCCAGTACATTGTTGTTTGAATTGATTTCAACAAAAATGCCCATCTCCCTGCTGAACTCTAGTATTGATTATCTTACAAAAGTTTGTTTGATCTTCCTGGAAAAGACAGACAGACTTGATCCGTGATTTAACCTGTTCCTCAGATCTCACCTTGCTGTCTCCATAACATGCTGACTTTCCCTTGTGCATGAGCATTCAGTTTTACAGTTTTTACTTTGTAAATGAAGTATCCGAACCATAAGAATTCTTTGAATATATTTTTGTAGAATCTAACTTTGTCTTCGCTTGTGATTATGCTGCAATAAATGTATCTGTTAAAAATTCCAGTGATTTTGGGCATTCCATTGCTTTACTAGAAACACTATTTCACTTCTGGTACCTTACCAATTATCTTAAATCCTGTAACAAACACAGAAAGCTGGAGAAACCCATCAGGTCTGGCAGCATCTGTAGAGAGAGAAACAGAGTTAACATTGAGTCCATCGAACTCTTCAGGTGATGGTTCAAATGCATTTTTAAAAGTTTGGTCAACTCATTCTTCCTTCTTCAAAGATGTGTATATATTAACTGCCAGATTTTAATTTTTTTTTAGTCGATGTTGGCTCCCTTATTATCTCCCAAAATGCATCACTTTACATTTCTCTGCATTAAATTCCATCCAACATATGTTTACACATTTCACCAGTCTATGTAATTCTGAAACCTGTTACTGTCGTCCTCAATGTTTACTACTACAAACTTTGGAATTGTGCCCCTATATTCAATTCTGGTTCATTAATATATTGAAAAGAGCTATGGTCCTTATATAGTACCTTGAGAAAAAGTACTCTTTACTGCCTTCCATTCTGAAATAACCATTCAACAAACCTGCTTTCTGCTTTTTTGCCAATATTGTACCTCTACTGTTAGTGATTCTTCAGTCCCGTCTGCTTTATCCAAGACGTTATTGCACATAACACGTGTAATTTGCTGTGCAAATGTTGCCGTTTTGTTTAACATGTCCCAGAAGCACTGAAACATCTAAGGAATATGGTACAGCAAATCACTTAACCTGGTTAAAATCAAAGAACTGCAGGTGCTAGAAATCTGAAACAAAAAACAGAGATAGCTGGAAACACTCAACAGGTCTGACAGCATCTATGGAAAGAAAGCAGAGTTAATGTTTTGAGTCCACTGACACTTCCTCAGAACAAAACAGTCACTGGACCCGAAAGCATTGACTCTACCTGATGCTACCAGATCTGCTGAGTTTCTCAAGCTATTTCTATTTTTGTTTTGTTTTGTTTTCCTGTGCTGTCTCTTTAAGCATTTAGTCCTGAAGCTGTGAAAAACTCCTTTTAGAAGACACTTAATGCCAGTTTCTAAATATTTGTTTATTGATGCATAATTTTAATCTTTACTATTCTACTATGCTGTTAGCTGCTAAATTCTTTACTTCACAATTATTATTGGAGCTTCATTATCAATTGTTTACCTGCTGAATTATTTATATATATCCTCCAGCATCACAATAATTATATGCTCTTAATGCCATGAATGATATATTGGGTCAAAATCTATTCTGTTACTGGGATGGTACAGAATTGGCTTCGAGCACTCAAATAATGAGTTCCAGAAAAGTGCCGAATAAATGTATTTAAAGGCCTTCGTAGCACTATAGTACATTAATTACTTCATCAGTGTACTTTCTGTGAAGTTCATCTCACATTCTGGTGATGTTGGTAACCTTTCATGTATGCTGCATTTCCAGAGGTATTGATGAGTAATGTAATATCTTTGAGAATAAGCTTAATTGCTATTTGAGTTTAAAAAAAATTAAGTATTGGATACCAAGCTAGTGCAAAAGTAACATACACTAGGAGAAGCAAGAGGTAAAAGATGCTAAAAATGACCAGTTTGATTTTAAAAATGTGTGAATTTCCATTAATCAGCCAAAAAAAATTCTTTTAAAGGTGTATCATTCAACAGCGTCTACACCCAAATTTGGCGTGTTTTGCTTCATCTGGCAGCGGATCCTTTCCCAGAAGTCTCAGACCTCGCTATGAAGGTGCTCAACAACACAGCTTACAAGGTACAGTAGTAGCATTCCTAAATATTGAACATGTGAATACTGTGACTGTAAAAGTGCCATAATCAGCATTCAAGCATCAGCTTGGCTCCTTTGGTAGCGGTCTCACTTCTGATCCAGTGAGTTACACTGGGTTCAGATTTCATTCCAGGGCTTGCATTATTAATCAAGGCTTACATTTTAGACAGCACTTCAGAAATGCTACAGTGCTTCTCAGGTAAGATGTTATCTAAAGGCCCTGTTGTCTTTATCTTTGCTTTAGGTGTATGTATAATTTGATGCATTATTTTGTTATGTATCTGTATGAATTTGAAACATTACTATTAAATATATTCCTGAAAAGTGCAGGAATTTGTTTAAACTGTCAAAACAGTGAGATTAGCTGTTTCTAACTTACATGAGATGGGTGCATTGAAGCACATTGCTGTTATTAAAGCTGAATATCCACTCTGTTTTCTAATCTGTAATAATTCTCTTATTTAATAACTAATTTTGAGGCAAGAACACAGAGCTGTGAGCATACCCGAAGCGAAAAGTTATATCCGATGTAGGTGGATAGAATTAAGAAAGGGGTTATTGGTTTGGCTTGTACAGAAGACAGTGGCTAGAATGGACAAATATGTGATAGTTCAGGTCTTTATTGCATTAAGTGGCACCATTCATTCCTGTAAAATGTCTGAGTCTTTTGTGGAAGTTGACTGTCACTGCCCCAAATTGACCTGTGCAATGGCATTGACTCATGGATGTAAAAAAAAATTTCCTATCATCTTTGCTGTACATTTGTCTTTCACATGAATAATTTTTTGATCTCCGATAATGCAGAAAAGCCAATTACTTAGTGAAGAAAGGCAAGGTCTGAATCAGGAAACTACTTTCTTTCACAGCAATCTGGAATAGAGTGCCAATTGTAATCAAAGCTCCTTGAATCGCTCAGTTAACCTAACTTCCCAAATGTCAGAAAATAATAAACTCATTTAGCAGATTAGTGGACTGTTCTTACTGTCTGGACAACAGCTGGCTTTTAAAGTGAACCCTTCAGTACTAAACTTGAGCCTACATGCTCATCTACCACCACCACCACCCCCCGCCTCCTTCACTGCTGTCCACAGTCTCCAGTGTTGACTTTCAATCCAACCCATAATTATACACTGGAGTTGAATGTGCCAGCCTGAGCTGACAGTCATCCTGCTGTGAGTTGGTTGATACAGTTGTCACAGTAGCAACAATAAAGAGTGATCAGGTAAAGTTTGAACTACCTTTCAGTGCCACTACTAACCCCCACCCCTCACCTCGCTGCAAATTCCTCCATGCGGTGGCTGAAATGTCATGTCTGAGTCCTAATCTTCCTGCTTTGACTGTCAATGTTTTATTTTTGTGAGATCTACATTCAGCACAATAGCAGCCTTTGAATAATGTATTTGTCTAATCCCATTCCCAAAACCCCCACAATGATAGCATAATCAGAAATTCTACATTGTGACCAGTACACGACGTCTCTTGTAAGAGTGAGTGTCTCAATGTGAATAATGGCCTTAATCTTAATGGTTTCTGCAAATACATTAATAATTGTATTGAGTGACATTTGAATGTAGCTGTTTCTGACTTCTGAACTAGAGAATAATCAATGAAATGGCATATTCTGTACAAGATAACCAAATTGAATGCATGTACACATATACCTGGAGCTCCAGAAATCTCTGCCACTTCTTTGAAAATAGACTGTCTCCAGAGATACTGAGAAAATCAGAGTAACTTTCAAAATTCAGAGCGGTGGGAAGCTATGAATGGTTTTACTTATCTGCCTTTCTTTGCTTGTGTAGATGTAGTTGAAATTCTATTGTCAATGAATCATTGAAGTGGGTGTTTTTGTAGGGGAAAAGCTTTTGCCTTTGAACGTCCTTTTCTTGAGGTCATTCACTTGAATTATAATATTGAAAATCGCTGCTGCTGATAATTTTCATTTTTAACCAATCCATAGAACATGCATTTCTTGTTACTGGAATAGCTCTTAATATGACACGTCCTTTTGCTTTTTCATGACAATATTTAAATCCCCACAATATATCACCTAAATTGTGAAAGGATGGTAAATATCCTCTCCTCTTTCTCTCTCGCAAACTATTCATCCTGGAGCAATGCGTTTCTTACAGGTGCCCTTGCCAAGACTAGTACTGATCCAGTGGCTAAGGATGGCTGGTAGAAAGGCTGCTGATTTTAACTGTATGGAAACTGTAGACAGCCTTGAGGGACACCTTTGTACAGCTCTGGGCAGGGCCCAATTTCAAACTCTGTCCCTTTCACATGTGTCAGCCGTCGGGGGTTGCTGGCTGAGAGACGGCTGACAGGGCATTGGTGGAGTGGCGATAGTGGGATTATAAAAGAGAGTAGCAGGTTTGTGTTTCACAGCCCTTTTGCCAATTTTCCAAGGTGGATCTCAATAACCTACTTGGCAGATTCCTGGAGTTCCAGGAAACCCTTTGAGCATTGAGATCCACAGCTGTGAAGGGCAGCATTCGAACCTCCACCTGAAGCTCCTGGCCAGTACTGAAACACTGATGGCTTCTGTATGTGCTGGAGTGGAAACTGGGCAGTGGGCACTAAGCACTAAAAAACCTAAAAGTGAAAATGAACAGAGACCTTCAGGGCATCCAATTTATGAACTAAGTACAAGTGAATCAAATCAACCATGTTTAGGTGGAAATTGGAACCATTGAAATAAAATCTGTGATATAACTTCTAAAATTATATAACCCTTTTTAAATGATTAAAATTGTATTTTAGAATCTGCATGTTGGTGTTATGATGTAAAATAACCTCATGATGCAGGCATGCTGATACACTTGGGTATCTGCTCCCATCCTTAGCAAATCTGTGTGTCTGAAATCACAGAAGTGATTCTCAGAACAGCTGAGTGCGTTGGTAACATTAGAATTTGCCTGCAATCACCTATAGATCGAAGAGAATTTCACCGACTTGAAACTCAGTTGTTTGTTCTTTATCTCTTGTGTAAATAGACTGAAAGTTTCCTTAAGCAGATTGAGCTTTCAAGCAGCGTGAAATGCACAATTTTGTTCTCTGCATATTTAGCCTAATTCCAGTTTCTTGCCTATTGGAGGTTATTTGCAATATCCAGCATGTTAAGTGGCCAAGCAGTGATTTGGGAATTAAGACACACAGCTTTGCCTTGACAGCAACTTTATTCTCGTTGCAAGTCTTACCATGCCCAGCTGCCCCCTCTTTATTTTTTCATTTATTTTTAATCAACCTGTTTGGACATGCTATGATACACCTGTCTGGCAGGCATGACTTCAACACAGACCTTCTGGCCAAGATGTAAGGACCTCGCCACTGCACCATGAGACCGCTTTTAGGAGTGAAATTTATTTGATAATTATTTAATTAACACCCGATACCATAACAATTTGATTGACATAGTATTAATACACCACAGCTCCAATCTTCCAGTATGCTATTCCATAGAAAATTACATTCTATTTATGGGCAAAAGAAATGGTTACCTGAGAACTGAAATTAGCCCTTGGATCATCTGTCACTCTTTCCTAGCATCCAAGAGTTTTTTTTTAGCCGATGAACTTGAAACTGTTCTTTCCTAGGTGTATAGTGTGCAGTATTTCAGGGTGAACTGCTTACATGTGAATGTTTAGAGCTGTAATTAACCACGGAGCCTGATGTGTTGAACAAAACTACTAAACACTAAATGACAAGGTGTAGAGCTGGATGAACACAGCAGGCCAAGCAGCATCATAGGAGCAGGAAGGCTGACATTTCAGGCTTCTTGGCCTGCTGTGTTCATCCAGCTCTACACCTTGTTATCTCAGATTCTCCAGCATCTGCGGTTCCTACTATCTCGAAACACTGAAATGCTTGTGTTTGAATGACTTTTTCCTTTAAAAACTGGTGCCAATCAATTGTGATAGAAGGAATAATCCCTTGAAGATTTCATAAAATGCTAATGAAAATAACACATTGCTTTGAAGCCATTATTGAATACTGTTCAATTTATGTCTGGATGACAAAACTTTTATTTCTGATTCACAAGTATTTGACCTTGCCAACAGCCCACCCCCTCTTCTATTTTGTATCTAGCAAACCCAGCAAACTTAATTTGGAATTCTAATCCTTTGGCTAAAACCTGAAGGTTGATTGTAGTGTGCAGTGTTATGTATATGTGCAAAAAGCCACAACCATTAAAATATGAATGCAGGACAGTCAGTTGTTGTCAAGTCTAAACATTTGTGTTCATCCCCAATTGCCCTTGAGAAGAAGGTGGTGAACTGTCATATTCAGTACAGTTAGGGAGGGAGTTCCAGGATTTTGACCCAGTGATATTAAGGAATGACAACATAGTTCCAAGTCAGGTTGGTCTGTGGCTTGAAGGAGAACCTGTGTGTAGAGGTGTTCTCATATATCTGATATCATTATAATTCAAGGTAGTAAAGATCACAGATTTGGCAGGGACTGTCAAAAGAACTTTAGCAATGACTGCTTTGCACATCACTGCCGCTGCGTGCTGGTGTTGGAGGAAGTGAATGTTTAAGTCGGTACCTGGAGTGCTAATTAAATGGACTGCTTTGTCCTGGATGCCATCGAGCTTTTTAACTTTGTTGGGGCTGCAGTCATCCAGGCAAATGGAGAGAAGTCCATCGCATTCCTGACCTATATCTTGTAGATAGTGGACAGGCTTTTGAAGAATCAGGAGATGAGTTACTCACGCAGAGTTCGGACCCTCTGACCTGTTCAGATAGCCACAGTATTTTATATGGCTCATCCAGCTAAGTTTCTGGCCGGTGATCATCCCCAGGGGGTTGATGTTGGAGTATCAGCACTGTTAATGCCATTGAACTTTTAAATGGAGATGGTGAGGTTCTTTCTTATTGGACAGGGTCATTGCCAGGTACTTGTCACTTATCAGTCCACACCGGAGTGCTTTCCAGGCCTTGCTGCAAGAGGGGAGGTTATTGATGATACTGCTGAAGATGTTTAGTCCCAGGAGAACACTCAGAAGTTCTTGAAACAAGTACTTAGGGCTGAACTGTTGGCCTTCAACAACCAGATCCATGTTTGTGCTAAGTATTACTCTAATTAGCAGAGTGTTTTCCCCTTGATTCCTATTGACTTAAGATTTGAGGGCTGCTTGATGCCATACTTGGTTGCTTTGATGCCCAGGCAATCGCTCTCGCCTCTAAAATTTAGTTCTTTTGCCTGTGTTGGACCAAGTTTGGAATGTGGTCTGGAGCATGTGGCCCTGTTAATGTACATTTTAGTGGCAGATCATTCCAAGCATTTCTCCTATTCAAGTATTAATAATTTGTGTTGAGAAAGTTGATCTCGATAATACTAGTCGCTTTGCGAAGAACCCTTTTACCACCTCAGATATAGATTTGGCTTTAACATTTCAAACTGAATTTGCAGAGTTGTCATTGCATTTCAAAATTACGGGGGTTTCTAGTACAACATTGTGTTATAGAAAATAGAGTTATAGAAATGACGGGCCTATAGGAAAAGCAGGGTTAGGGGCATAAAGGACACAACGATAATGTTTTCCAAAATTCTTCCTCACCTGTGTAGCTTCACTCTTCTAGCTGCAGTTATGACAGTTTATCAGATAGGTGATGTGGCATAGATGCAATACATGTACAAATCTGACCTGATGTTTGCAATGAAGTGACAGCTGGGTTTTAGAGTTCTGCCATTGGAAATCCCAGCAATGGCCAGTACTGCATGATAGTTCAGTAATGTTCCAAAAGAGATGAGCAGTGCAAAATTGTGTGAAGTGGAACGTTGCTGGCTGTGAGCTCTATCTCATATAATTTTGCACTGCTCACCCCTTCTGGATCATGGCCACACCAATGACTTTCCACTTATTTCAGGCAGATTTTAAAGATTACATCTGAAATTGTCAATGCGTCAATTCTGGGGGAGTTTCATGGAACGTTGCTGGCTGTGAGCTCTATGAAACTCCCCCAGAATTGACGCATTGACAATTTCAGATGTAATCTTTAAAATCTGTATGAAATAAGTGAAAAGTCATTGGAGTGGCCATGATCCAGAAGAGGTGAACAGCGCAAAATTGTATGAAATGGAGCTCACAGCCTGTAACCCTCCATGAAACTCCCGTGAAATTGACACGTCAGCAATTTTTGGTAAAATTCCCTCCTCCTTTTAAATGTTGATCTTGACACAAACTTCTGGATGGACTTTAAGATAAGTGAAGCAGCAGAATCTGATCTTTCTTTCTAATGTAGCCCATTGGCATTGAAGTTAATTGTAGGATTAAAATGTGTTGTAAACCTGAGTAATATTGTATTCAAAATAGTGCTGGAAAAGAGCAATCCATACTCGATGGAATTGCGTTGTAGTTGACACAGGTTTGCATTTTACAAATACTGTTCCCCTATTCATCAATTGCGTTGTAGCCAATTTGCGTTGCCAGAACACGTGTTTTAAGAGAACCCCCTGTAATTATTATCTGTTCTAATTCCACACTTAGATCAAACAAATTAGCATCATTTGAAATAGCTATAAATGTCCCAACAACATAATTATTGAGTAGCTTTAAAGCACCTGAAAAAATCATCAGATGTTTTAAGGGCTAATTATAATTAGCATAAATGTGGCAATGATAGCAAAAGAGGCAAATGATAGCTTGCAACAACTGATCATGCAATAAAACATAATACATATTACAAAATACTTCTTACAATATTAGGCATACACAAGAAGAATCTACTTGACACTTGCATTGCTGCCAATCTTGAGTTCTTAATTGAATGGGCACCTCTCTAAAGGTTTGTTGCTATTGTTGTACAGAAAAATATTTTTGCTTGTTCATTTGTTGATGTAACAAATCACAGAAATTTTAAAAACGTTTGGTATCTTTCTTACAAGACTTTTTTAAGTAAAGTGATCGATTGCCAGAGAAAAAATAAATATTAGCCAAATTAGACTGGCAGGAACAATAGTTACAACTAAGGTACTTGAGTCATCCAAAGATGTATATTTAATGACTGCAGATAGTTCTGGTTTAAAAACCTGCAGATCGTAGCTGAAGATCAATGTCATGAGAGGATATGTGTGAAGGTAAAGAATGTTTTTCTGTCTAGCACGAAGGAAAAGTGTACTTGAGTTGAAACTAAAGAATCCACCAATAAATAGTAAATATGGTAGCTACCTGACGGTCAGGTTTGGTCACTTATTGGTTAGACAGTCGACTCACAGTAAATACAACCTTTGTTTAAATAGATTTAATGACGTACAGGCTTAGTGTTGATTTTGAAGTAGATGCTTATAATCTAAAAGGCTGCTGTGCAATGTATTTTCTTTAATCTCATTCTCATGCATAGCCTTTGAGAGAATCCCAACGAAGGCATGTATCCGGAAACTCTATCTGGGCTCAGTGGATGAAAATGAACCTCCAGTCCCACTCCCAGCTTGCAGCTGTGAAATGGTAGAATGGGCTTTTGCTTTCTGAAGCCCAAACCATGTGTATGAGTTGCTGTTTTGAAAGGATGAAGTTCTTGATGTCAGTTCTACATTTACCTGTTACTCATTTAAACTCTTTCCAACTCTTAGTGGTTTGATGCATTATTCTGGATTAACTTCCCTTAACCATGGCTTTTATGACTGTATACCCATCCATGTCAGTTGTCTCCCCTTAATTCTGCAAGCAAATTTAAATGGCTGGATCCTCTGATGTTGGCGGTGGATTGCGTAGTTTTTTTGTTAGTCTTACCTCAATAACTTGAATTTTTGTTGGGGCTGTTTGAAGGTTTCTTTTAGTCTCTGAGCAGAAGTGGACCCAGCAGGCAGGTTGATCTGGTCAGGCTGCTATTAGTTAGAATTATCTCTTGGGTAATGGTACTATGTCTTTAAGAGATGTGTTCTGTGTTACTTCTCTTGCAGACAAGTGTTGTCACAATGGTGCTGAAATGTCGTCTCCTTCAGACAGGCAGTTGATAAATGGCCTGTAGTTCTCCTGGGTTTTTTAAAAATGGGACAAAAGAATCATGAATGGGTGGGGTCAGCGCTCACACAGACTCGGGAAGGCGTTTAGTTTTGCTTTCAGTTAGTGAGAAGGTCTCTGCTGGCTGTTGAACTAAAAGCTTGAGTTCCCAACTGCTATAGTCTGAGACTGTGAGGCTTTCTCTTAAAAATGAAAAGTAGCAGATAGTTTCTTCTGCACTGGAGTGAGACAGCATGTGAGAATCATAACTGTTTCGCTGAATTGCATTTATGCCAAGGGTGTGTTTATAGAATGCTGCCTATATTTAAGCAGTTGGTAATTAGTGGTTAAATAATACTTGTTAAATAATCATGTTAAGTATTTCAATAGAGTTAGTTATGCCAATTCTTTATTTTTACAACACAGTTTAAAATACAAAAAAAAAAGTGTTTTGATTCGAGCTTGGTGTGGACAAATCGAATCACATCTGGAATACAGCAGCTTACGCTTGCCTTTAACTAAATATAAAATTAGGGTCTAGGGTCTGGTCCATAACACTTGTTACTGACTTCAGTGTATTAAAATCTGCTTACTTAACATTACGAATTTTGTTTTTCTGAGGCCTGTTTTGAAGTGCAAACTGCTCTGCTCACTTTATTTTCCTTTCCTGTTTCAAGAATGTTACTTTGAATATTTTAACAAAATGAAATGAGATCCTTTTTTGAAAGTAATGCTGAAATGGAGTTCATATGAAATACTGTTTTTTTTTTAGTTTTCATTGAGATGTTGAAAATTTAGGAACAAAAGATTGGGGATAATGCTGAGCTTATAGACCTAATTAATGTTCAAAGTCGTGATTTAACCAATCTTGCAAATTGATCTTTAAAACAAAAACAGCAAAATGATTCATTATTATAATGCTGATAAAGCAGATATTAAATTCTCCTTGAAAATTTTGGAATAATGTGACATCAATGACTAAGATTTTGAGGTCCTTGGTCGGTCTTAGTGTATTTATTCCAATAAAGTGGAATAACTACATGCAATCAGAGACAGCAAGAACTGCAGATGCTGGAGTCAGAGATAACACAGTGTGGAGCTGGAGGAATACTGCAAGCCAGGCAGGATCAGAGGAGCAGGAAAGTTGACATATTTCTGAAGAAGGGTCCCGACCTGAAACTTTCCTGCTCCTCTGCTGCCTGACCTGCTGTGTTCCTCCATCTCCACACTGTGTTAACTAAATGTAATATGTTCTTTCCAAGTGATTTATGAATACTTGATGTGTAAATTCGTTATAGTATAAAAGATTTACTATTTTGATAAATGTTTCTCTGCAGGCTACAGTTAATGCCCGACCACAACGTATTCTAGATTCCACAAACCTCACGCAGTCTGCACCAGCCAGTCCTACCAGTAAAGGAACACACATTCATCAAGTTGGGTAAGTCCTTGAGGTATTAGTATAATGTCTTCTATGATACAATATGTTCTTGTGACAAGTTGTTCTCAACAGAAAATATGTCTTTAGCTTTTGTTTGCAAGTTTGAAGTTGATTAGCTCCAGCTCTTGGCTGTATGAATAACCAGGTCAAGGCATGTTGGAGACACGATCCTTGTTGCTATCCTGAAGTCCGACATTCTATACTCCAGCTTCAGAACTGAGATAAGTAATAAAACTTCACTAATGGCATGCACTTCCGGTGCACACTAGCCGATTTCCTTTGCCACAGGTTTTCAGCCTTGCTTTATGTGTACATGCTGTCAATCCACAAGCTAACCCACTGTCTATGGTTTCTGGCTCATTCCCTTGCACATTCTACCACTGGACTTGGAACCTGCTGTTTTCCAGTCTCCAGGAAGCCTATCCACACTTCATGCCACAGTCAAAGTGAAGGCCTGACATAC